AAACATAACTTTCAGGACAGGCCTATGTCACCAAGGAGGCCTAGGGGCGGGGCTAAATCAGAGTTTTGGCTGCCCTAAGAGTGACACTCTGTAGTCATTGGTTGAGCTTTGGTAGGTGGAGTTAATTGGGCGTAAGAACTATTAAGTGGGTGGAGCCTGTTCCACTGGTAAGAGTTTTAGAAAATATTAGTAAGTGTGTCTTGGGGTGTGTACTGGGGTATAGGTCTCCTGATATGGGGGCAGCCACTCAACATCTTGGCCGAGGTTGCAGGATTAAGGTAATGTCTGTTTGAGTTTTGGTACATCAAGTAAATGCACCTTAAATTTCCAATTGCCTCGTAGCATGTCTTATCAAAGTAGGATATAACTTTCAATTTGTTTTCAATACGTGTTTTAAAATAATAAAGTGTTTTAATGTAATTGTGTTTAGTTATCTGTTCTGCTTTTCTTTTGATGCTGTACGAGTCATTTTATAGGGGATATTCTCGGGTGGTATTGGAAGCCTTTGGATCCTCAATCAGTAAAGATTACAGTATTACTTCTCAAGAGTTATTTACCAAGATTCTAATTGCCCCTGAGTCCATGATTATTGAGTCCCTTCCTTCCTGGGGAAACAATAATTTAGACACATTCATCAATGCTTATGGGAAGGTTGTGGCTGTGCTTAATAATTTTAATTATTAGTTATAAATTAATAACCCCTATTCTTGTTGTGTCATCCTCATTTAATATTCAGCTTATATTCGTAGCAGTTCAGTGAGGGGTCATACTGGACTGTGACAGTGTTAAGCTGGGGTATTGGGTGAAGGGAAAGGGTTGAGTAGGTAAAGGGTTATTACATACTCCCACTTGTCCCAGTGTCACCCTGCCTCTACTCACGTCTACTCCCATTTGTCCCAGTGTCACCCAGCCTCCACTTGCGTCTACTCCCACTTGTTCCCGTGTCACCCAGCCTCCACCCACGTCTACTCCCACTTGTCCCAGTGTCACCCAGCCTCCACCTGGGTCTACAACCACTTGAGACAATAGTGTTTAATCACATTCAGAGGAGATTGAAGGCCGGGCACACTCAGCCTCCAGGTCCCCTTACTCTCAACCCCTGGAGATAAAAATCACCACATGTGCTCTGTGAGCACATGTGGTGATGTGGTGTTCAAGCAACACATTTTCTAAACAAAATCATTAGGAAACCCGATTCTTCCCGCCCCTTTCCAAAGGGTTGAGTGTGTGCTGTGTTACACTCAACACAAGTGTTTCATTGTTCAGGCACAACTGATGAACATGGGTATGTTTTTGGTAACACCGACGGCCTGAGCAATAACATTATGCCTTCCTTGGTATAGATCATGAACTTCAGAACATTAATACTTAACTAGTAACATAACAAGCTTAAGAAGAACATTTATGTTCAATGTGTGACGGGCATTGGAAGAACATTTACCCATAATAAGTAACATTGACAGACTTAAAAAAACATTAAAGTGTCTTAGGTAATACAAGCGGCTTTAATAAGAATATTAAGTCCACCTTGAAAAAATTTAACGAATTTAAATAAAACATTGAGGTGAACCAGCTCGCCAGGCATAGCCTCGGTAATAAGTGAGACCTTACATAGGCCTATGGGCACAATAGCTCTATTTAAGAGCTATTACTAATTAGAGCTATTAAATCTATTAATAAGACTATTAAAATACCCTCTATTATTAGAGACTATTATTAGGACTATTATTACCTATTAAGAGCCATTCGTGTTACCCCCATGGGTAATACGAACGGACTGTCAAGAGTATTTAGTCTTAATCAATAGCACATATTAGTTCAAGAAGCGCTTAAGCCGACCTCGGGAGCCTTAACTGTTTTAATACGAGCAGTAAACGTTCCCATGTAGCACTGAGAGTTTAACAAGAGCAGTAAACGTTCCCATGTAGCACTGAGAGTTTAACAAGAGCAGTAAACGTTCCCATGTAGCACTGAGAGTTTAACAAGAGCAGTAAACGTTCCCATGTAGCACTGAGAGTTTAACAAGAGCAGTAAACGTTCCCATGTAGCACCGAGAGTTTAACAAGAGCAGTAAACGTTCCCATGAAGCACCGAGAGTTTAACAAGAGCAGTAAACGTTCCCATGAAGCACCGAGAGTTTAACAAGAGCAGTCAGTAAGTCTGCAAAGGTTTAGTGCCCTGTATCATGAGGACTTACAGGTTAAGTAATGCAGTGATCCAAAGGTCTTTATGTCATATCTTGCTGATATTTTTTGGTTAATGAAATAAGGTACTACAAGGTGAACACAAGACTCGTGGATTGCAAAATCAAAATGTCTGGTTTAATCAGTGAACTGTTTTTGTTGTTGTTGTTGTTGTTGATGGTCTAGGTCTTGAGAAAGAGCTTATCTCATCTCACACATCTCGGTAAGTGTGATCTATCACAAAATATCTTACAAATAATCTCATCACGTCTTTCCAACTTCAATGGTGACCTGAACTAAAGATTCATTTTTCTGAAGCAGATGAACTTCCCTCATTAGATTGTTCAAGTCATTTCTCTTTCACAAGGAAATAATGATTGTCTGGCTGAAGCGGAGTCTAGTCAAATGACGAGGTGAAGGACATCCGTGCTTCAGAATAACACTTTAGGTAGCTGGAGCTCCAAGTAGTTGCCAAATATAACAAACTAGAGGCGGTAACCGGTGGTTCCCGGGGCTACCCTAGTCTCTCTGTTCCATTCTCCTTCCCTCCGATTTTCCTGCCTCACAGTCTGCCTCCATTCCCTCCCTCCCGTTCTTTCTCCATTTGTCACTCCTCGTGATCAAAACATGCCCGAGTAACGTTGAATAAACTTCATCTACGATAAATTAACGTTGAAACGTTATAAATGTTGAACCAACGTTATCGACACTGCAACAATGTTATCAACGACGATTCATCCGCAATAACAGCTGTGAATTCGGGTTGAAAACACTCTTTGGACAGTCGAACATTTTAGACTTCACGGGACTTGTTATCGCAACAGAAGCGATTCCTACTTGAAGACGGGCATGGGGGGTCGACCTCAGTCACCCTATGGCACTCGTCATACTTTCAAACTCTCAATTCACCATGAAAATTGCGTGAGGCTAAACGCGACCATCTGGGCTCCCACTCTGAACAGATATTCTACTTGTAGGTTAACTACAGAGCCTCAACAAGTGTTTTTGCTCTTCCCAACAACAACATACTTGGTGACATATGCCTTTAGTGCTGTGGGAGCCTTCGTGCGCAAACTAAATGGATTTCTTCCTCGGTTTTCTAGTTCAGTTTCTGTGCACTCAGGCCAAAGTGAGCATTATATCAAATGGAAGTTTTCTGCTGCGTGGTTTTCTTTATTTCTCACTTTTGATGACCTTAAGAGTGCTTTTGGCCTTCCCAACAACATATTTGGAGACATTCAATCACAATGAAACACATTCATTGAATTTTATGATCCACTGAACTAAGAATTTATTTTTTCATTTAATGGCAATTAATAAAGGAATTGAGTATAATAAATTGTTTCAGTAATTACCACTGCAAAAGTACAATGACGAAAAATATTACTAGAAGACGATCCAAAATGGTGGAGGAACTGACGGGGGAATGTGGCCGGCCAATTTGGGAACCACTGTACAAATATAAAGGGAATTACTATCCGAGCTCTCTTAGTGGCCAAAAAAGAGAACTTGATAAACACCTTTAGAGGATACCTGATCAACTGGGCTGTGAGTCATATGTCAAACTGCGAGCAGCGGTGTATAACAGCTTGGTGAACTAGACTATAAATCAGGAGGCCTGTTCAGTGACTGGATCGCTAGATCATTGGTTCCCGGAAGAAGCATGTGGAAGATACCTCATCACCACAGAAGCTACAACTGATTGATTAGATTTCCCAGAATATCCCCATAATCAAATTTCTTCTTCTATATCAATATATTTTGTTATTTTGAAATGCCTTTATTTATTATTTTGTCCGGCGCCCCGAGGGTAAATGTCTCTTTCTTCAGCAGCTCATCTCGGCCATCATATGGTTATCTTGAGGTTATCTTGAGATGATTTCGAGGCTTTAGTGTCCCCGCGGCCCGGTCCTCGACCAGGCCTCCACCCCCAGGAAGCAGCCAGTGACAGCTGACTAACTCCCAGGTACCTATTTACTGCTAGGTAACAGGGGCATTCAGGGTGAAAGAAACTTTGCCCATTTGTTTCTGCCTCGTGCGGGAATCGAACCCGCGCCACAGAATTACGAGTCCTGCGCGCTATCCACCAGGCTACGAGGCCCCACCTGTCGTAGTGATGGTAAGGTTTTCATTTAATTGTTTGCCCAACAAAATGCAGAGTTGTTTCTATAAATTTGTGTCAACATTATTTAATTCCCCAACCACTTGGGCTGGACGGTAGAGCGCCGGTCTCGCTTCATGCAGGTCAGCGTTCAATTCCCGACCGCCCAAGTGTTAGGCACCATTCCTTTCCCCGCGTCCCATCCCAGATTCTTATCCTGATCCCTTTCAAGTGCATATAGTTGTAATGGATTGGCGCTTTCCCTGATAATTCCCTCCCCCCACCCCCTCCCGAACAATTACGCATAGACGTATACCCAGCATGAATAATTATGCACAGAGGAATACCCAGCATGAATAATTATGCACAGAGGCATACCCAGCATGAGAAATTATGCACAAAGGAATACATAGCATGAATAATTATACATAGTGGTATGCCCAGCATGAATTAACTGAGCAGTGTTTGGGCTCAATAGCATTAGGGTTCCTTGTTACGAGTCGTGATATGAGCCCATAGCCTTACCTTTTACCATAGGTGGATTCAGCAGGAGAATATAAGCCTACCTGGTACCATGATCTAGTTCAGCAAGAGAATTAAGCCCTAGCTGTTTGTATGGGCCGACTTATGAAGAGTATTAAGCTCTCACCGGTTTTGCCAACAGGAAGAAACAAAAGAGAAACAAGAGAGAATAAAGGACGGGGTTGGGTACTCACCTGTCGTAGATGAGATGGACGGTGAGGTGTCCCGTCACCTGCCCGCACGTGTCCTCCAGCTCCCCGAGAGTGACGGACGTGTCCGAGCTGACAGAGTCGCACGACATGGCTCTCTTCAGCGTCTGTCCGGCCTCGAAGCTCCCGGCCAGGCCGGCCGAGTTGGGCGGGGTGTTGGAGAACCCGGCCGAGCTGGGCGGCGTGTCTCCGAACGTCAGCTGGGACGAGGCCGAGTTAGGAGGCGTGGCGGTGACGAGTCCGGCCGAGCTGGGAGGTGTGTCGAGCGAGAGTCTGCGACTGGTGCTGAGAGTGAAGACTGTGGGCGGCGCTGGCGACACGTCCGCCGACGCCCGTCTGCTGCTGTAGAGGTTCCTGAGGGTGACGGAGGTGGGCGGCGTGCTGCTGCTGGAGGCTGCTGCTGCTGGGCGCCCGCTGCTGTACAGGGCGTGGGGCGCGGCCGAGGTAGAAGGCGTGTCCGACGAGTCGTACGCCGTCCTGGGTGGCGTGGCTGGCAAGGTGGCAGAGGCGGGCGGCGTGTCCATGTAGTCCGGGGAGCCTCGGACTACGTCCTCTTGGTCTGGGATCTGCCGCAGGCGAGCACTCAGTGACGCTATGTACTCCCGCACTCGCCTCGCACTCGCGTCCTCCTCGCACTCCACCGCACTCTCCTCACCCCGGCGGGAGGCCGAGGTTGTGTGTGTTCTGTGAGGAGCCTCCTTAACCGCGTCGTGGAGGAGGAAGACTTCCTCTTCCTCCTCCTCCTCCACACTCCTCAGCCCTCCTGGCTCTTCCCTCCCTCCTCCTCCTCCACTTCCAACATGCACTACGAATGGGTTCCTCCCTCCCGTCCCTCCCTCGTGGCCCTCCTCCCTCGCGGCACTGGAGGAGGGAGCCTCGGACGGCCACCAGTCCTGCGACACGTCGCGATCCGTCGGGGCTCCCAGCTGCCTCATCCTGGCCTCCACCTCGGCAAGGCGGGAAGCTATGTGGGGGGAGCGGGGGGACAGCGGGTAGGTTGCTGTGTTAGGGGGCGTGGCTGGCACCTCGTAGCTCCGCCCAACCGGGTCAGAGGTCACGTGGGCTTCCATGGAGGTCTCCTCACGTGATACGACCTCCTGCAAGAATTATGAGGGACATGGTGATCACTCTCGTACATGTACATCAAAGTACACACACACACACACACACACTGATTTGAGAGATTAGGTAGCTAATATATTGAACAGAAGAAACATTATGGAAACTAGAGATACAAATGAGCCACAGAGCTGTCAGGAACAACTTCTTGCAGATAATTCTTATAAGAAAATTAAATGGGTAGATGACCCTCAATAATTATACAAGAGCAGAAGCAAGAGAGAAGAGTTATTGCATTAAGTCAACCACCACCCTGGAAGCACAGGGTCATGGGTGACCCCTGTTGTACCTAAAATTTGTACTTATTATACAACATATATATATGTTATACCTAATAGGTAAAGTTGCCTAATAAGTCGAGTTTTCCTGAAATTAAATATTTTCTAACTTTTTTTTATGGAATAATAGTAACCAGTTTGCTATATAAGCTTATTTTATATAAGTTTAATCAATTATATTAATTTGATCCCCTAGTACCCTGAGTTTGAATCTTGTGTGTGGGGGTCATTAAGTTATGGGGGTTCTGTATATGTCTATATACTGTATATATATTTCAGGGTTTTCTGTGTTATTAAAGTACTATTATATATGTATACGTTACTATTTATGCTGTTTTTAAAATCCTCTCTGTGATATTATTATTATTATTATAACACTACATCAATAAAATATTATTTAAAATATAGTCTGCAAAGTATCGTACCTGAGGCATGTGCGTGCTGATGGCGATGTTACCGTCGTGGCGAAGTTCAGTATCGTTCATTTCAATGATAGATTTATCGAAACTGTTGACCGCATAATTTAAACTTCCTCCTTCAAGCACTTTGTCGTTTGTCCTGTTTATGTTTTCAAAGATTTTAGTCTCTCTTTCGTTACCGGCTAGGGTGTTCTGGTTGCAAATGTCATCATCTTCTGAAATGTCAACAAAGACATCGTCCGTGGTCCCACCACTGTCGTTCAGGTTGTCTTTCTGAACGTCGTAATTACCTACGGTAAATGAATTGTACGAGGTTTTTCCAAGATTGTCGAGATTAGTGGAAAAAGTCTCATACGAAGCTTTTACGGCACCACTTGAAGCATCGAGGAAGGAAGAAGTGTCGTGCAGCATGCTCTCAGTGCCACTGGTAGAAAGGGTTGAAAAATTGTCCTGTGATGTCTTCCCAGCACTACTTAGAGCAGTGAAGGAGAAAGTCTCGTACGACGCCTTCCCAACCTCGCTGGAAGCAGTCTTTCCTCTGTTACTGAAAATATCTCCAAGAACACTGCTGCCAGCCGCCACCCTCTCCTCATCGCCGTTCATCAACGCCATCTTTGAGGTCTCAGCTTCGACTCCGCGGGGTCTGGCAGAGGCGTAAGTGTCCCAAGCAGACCCGGGACCTGGGAACGTTGCCGGAGCGAGAGAGTCCTGGCTGCTCATCCTCTCAGTTTGTACCCTACTCTCTCTGGGGTCAGGGAAACCTTCCATTGAGTGGCTCCCTGTTGCTGCAGGCGGCGCCCCAGGAGACGAGCCCGTGACGACGCCAAAGGTGTTGTGAGCGAATGATTCCTCTGATGTCTCGTCAGGAGGCACCCAAGAGGCCCTGAAGGGGTTGGTTGAGGCTCGCTTGGGGCTGCCCTGTTGTGATGATCCCAATAGCTCCTGCAACACATAAAACTCTTCTTCAGGTTCTTCCAAGATAACCAGGCTAACAATAGTCCAGGATGACCACTGCAATACTACACATGTCTGCTCATATTACCTACCAGGTTTAGGAGATAATAAAATGTATGTATCGAAAAAAAATATACCGACATGGTATCACCTTATATATATCCATGCAACCAGATATAAATCTATACTTAGACAAGACATGCTGCTCTGTTCAAGCGACCTGATATACGTAACCACCGAGATGACTCCAATATACGCTGAAGCTTATACTTCCGGAGTTACTCCTCTGCTCTCACGAACAGATAAATACCACTATCCACACGACCAGAGATACTCCTGTACCCCTGAAGATCAGACACCACCATCCACACGACTAGAGATACTTCAGATCTCTGTGGATTAAATATACAGAATACATCTTTTACCCACACTCCTATTAAACTTTCGCCAATACACATGTGCATTCGCCTGCATATACTCGACCAGAAATACACCCACACTATCAAGACCAAATACACGCTTGCAGTTAGACTGTTTAATATGAAGATGTGTACACCTGTAACCATATAACCCAACAACACCTGTACCCATATAACCCAAACAACACCTGTACCCACATGACCCAAACAACACCTGTACCCACATAACCCAAACACCTGTACCCATATAACCCAAACAACACCTGTACCCACATGACCCAAACAACACCTGTACCCATATAACCCAAACAACACCTGTAACCATATAACCCAAACAACACCTGTACCCACATAACCCAAACAACACCTGTACCCATATATACCAAACAACTTTACACCTGTACCAAGTTAACCCGACTTATACCCTTGTCCCCAGAGTATTAGTTAATCGCTCATCTAGGCCTGTACAAGCATGTTTAATTTTGTACGCAAACTTAAAATACTAATCTAGGTCTATACAACACTGTGCCCAATCGTGCAGATATGCTCATCTAAGCCAACAATCCAGTTCGAAATCGAGTAGATACACCCGTTTAGGCTTACACAGGCACAAATAATATTGTACTCACATGAACAGAAGTACCCATCCATGCCCACACAGCCTTGACCAGAAGTACCCATCCATGCCCACACAGCCTTGACCAGAAGTACCCATTTATGCCCACACAGCCTTGAACAGAAGTACTCATCCATGCCCACACAGCCTTGAACAGAGGTGCCCATCCATGCCCACAGCCTTGAACAGAAGTACCCATCCATGCCCACACAGTCTTGAACAGAAGTACTCATCCATGCCCACACAGCCTTGACCAGAAGTACTCATTTATGTACACACAGTCTTGAACAGAAGTACCCATGCATGCCCACACAGCCATGAGCACAAGTACCCATCAATGCCCACACAAGCATATATATAATCTAGAATCCATACATTCAGACAAACTCATCAAGATCTATACAAACCTATATAATCCTGTGCTCAACCAAGTAGATACACCTATCAAGTCCTATATAATCCTGTGCTTTATCGTGCAGATATTCTCCTTGCAGTTACCCACCTCTAGGCCTATACAAACCTTGCTGGAGTCTCTCCTGGATAGGCGTCCAGTTAGCGAGCGAGATGAATCCCGTCGGTCCAGGACTGGAGCCGGCCTGGACGGCTCAGGCGGGGTCTCTATCCCCATCCCTATACTGCTGGCAGGGGACGGCGACCCCTCCCCGCTCTCCGTCCATCCTCCCATCCTAGCCAGGGGATAGACACAGACAGTTCGTACACATTACTCTTATTAGTGTGATTTATACTTAGTAACACTTATTTCTGAGTGCTACTAAGTGTTAATGGGCGCTACTGAGTCCTCCTGAGTGCTATCGAGTGCTATTAAGTGTTATTGGGCGCTACTGAATGCTCCTGAGCGCTACTAAGTGCTATTGAGTGCTTCTTAGTGCTTCTCAATGCTCCTGAGCGTTACTAAGCGCTACTGAGTGCTTCTCAATGCTCTTGAGTGCTACTAAATGCTACTGAGTGCTTCTGAGTGCTACTAAGTAGCTACTGACAAGCACTCAACAGCTACTAAACGCTCCCAAGTGCTACTGAATGCTCCTGAGTGCTGATGTATGATGTATGTATGCCACCAGGCTAGTCCCCGAGCTAAGGGGTATGAACTACGAGGAAAGATTACTGGAACCAAACCTCACATCACTGGAAAAGAAAAGGGATAGGCGAGACATAATCACTACCTATAAAATTCTCAGAGGAATTGACAGTGTAGATTCTGAATGATAAACTATTTAACACAGATGGTTCGCAAACAAGGAGAATTTTTTTTTAGAAACTTAGGACCTGGGACCAAAGATCGGAGGCTAAACTCCCACAAGTACAACTAAGTGAGTATAACTAGGTGAGTACAGCTAGGTGAGTACAGCTAGGCGAGTACAACTAGGCGAGTACAACTAGGCGAGTACAACTAGGCGAGTACAACTAGGTGAATTCAACTAGGTGAGTACAACCAGGTGAGTAAACCTAGGTGAGTACAACCAGGTAAGTACAAATAAGTGAGTACAACTAGGTGAGTACAACCAGGTGAGTACAACTAGGTGAGTACAACCAGGTGAGTGCAATTAGGGGAGTACAACTAGGTGAGTATACCAGACCAGTATACCCCAGGATATACCAGAGCAGTATACCCCAGGATATACCAGAGCAGTATACCCCAGGATATACCAGAGCAGTATACCCCAGGATATACCAGAGCAGTATACCCCAGGATATACCAGAGCAGTATACCCCAGGATATACCAGAGCAGTATACCCCAGGATATACCAGAGCAGTATACCCCAGGATACACCAGAGCAGTATACCCCAGGATATACCAGAGCACTATACCCCAGAATATACCAGAGCAGTATACCCCAGGAGGGGCGTACCTGGGCGGCGGGGCGGGTGCTGGTCGTAGAGGCTGGGGGGGCAGGTCGGGCTGGTCGACGGCCTCAGCGCGGGCCGGGTCGTCGCCGGGGACACTGGTCGGGTCGTCGAGGTTGGTGAAGCGCTTGTACGACCCTGTGCGGGGCCACAACCCAATCCAGTCGAGGTCGTTGTCCAGCTGCGGGAGGACACAAGTTAGGGCGTTGTTAGGAGGGTCCGGTGCCGGCAGTTACTGGAGGCTTAATTGCCTCTTGTGGTAGTTAAGGGATGCTAAGTCTCTGGATGGTTCTGCAGGGATCGCTGGTGGCAGTTTGGGCTTCGAAAATCTTTACATGCAATTATAGGCCATTAAACTCCTCAAGTGTTTATGGATTATGAACCTAAGCAACGGTTGACAGGTCATGGTAAGCAACGGTTGACAGGTCATGGTAAGCAACGGTTGACAGGGCATGATAAGCAACGGTTGACAGGGCATGATAAGCAACGGTTGACAGGGCATGATAAGCAACGGTTGACAGGGCATGGTAAGCAACGGTTGACAGGGCATGATAAGCAACGGTTGACAGGGCATGATAAGCAACGGTTGACAGGGCATGGTAAGCAACGGTTGACAGGGCATGCTAAGCAACGGTTGACAAGGCTTACTTAGCAACGGTTGACAGGGCATGCTAAGCAACAGTTGACAGGGCATGCTAAGCAACTGTTGACAGGGCATGCTAAACAACGGTTGACAGGGCATGCTAAACAACGATTGGCAGGGCATTGTAAACAATAGTTGACAGAGCATGATAAACAACACTTGACAGGACTAGGTAAACAATAGATGACAGGTATGTTAAACAACGGTTGAAAGTCAAGACAACAACATCTGTTTCCTGGCGATTTACAATGCATATCCAACAGGGCTCTATTAAGGAACATATAGCCTCTTCCCACAACCAGACCATCACCAGAGAAGTCTTAACAAAAAACACAGAAAACATCGATAGATACAGCGATAGCAGGCGGCTTGATATCTGCGAGGCCCTACACATTAAGAAGTCAACACCAGCAATCAACAGCCAATTAATGCACAACTATATTCTACCCACTTCAAGACTCCGCACCAATATAGAAGCATCAAGAAATATGGGCCAATAGGCCCTTTGCAGTTACTTCCATTCTTCCCTTTAACTTACAAAATATTATACCCATTGTTTCGTGTTCTGTCATGTGTTGAAAGTTTGTTTTCACCTCATCCAAAACTGTTGTAACATATCACCTCACCCAAAAGCAGGTAAAAAATCGAAGCTGTTTAAACTCTGTTTAGTTATAGTTGTGTGTGTTTAAACTAAAGTCTTTGAAAATGTAATAAGTTATTACGAAATGCGTTCAAGTGTCGCGTCAGACTAGAAATAAAAATGAATTTTGGAGAATTGATTTTTCAGTTACCATCAACAGTGAAAAGAAATATAAGAAATATTGAGAAAATTCGTGTTAGAATTATTAATCTTACTTTTTCGGTCATATTTAATAATATATATATATATACATGTGTGTGTATATATATATATATATATATCCCGGCAATGGGAAACGGCTCTGGCAAGGTTGCATATTGGCCATACTCGCTTAACTCATGGTCACTTAATGGAGCGCTGCCCTGCTCCTTATTGTTTGAAATGCATTGTCCCTCCTACGGTCGTGCATATCCTTGTTGAATATCCAGACTTCTGGGACGAGCGTGTGTCTTGTTTTCCAACCGCCTCACGCGGTCGCTTGTCCCTCGTTAGAATTCTTGGTGACGTGGATACTCGTGGACGGCCACGAGGACACATAACTCTTAAGAGTACGCAGTTTGTTACCAGTATCAGAAGACCAACAAGCCTGCCAACGGGTAAGGATGGAGGAATGGATAACTGGGGTAAAATTCGGAATAAGGAATAGCTTTACGAGAGATAGGACAAGAGTGGACAACTTCCCTGGTGGCAGCATCCGCACGATCATTTAAAGAGACACCAATATGGCTGGGAACCAAGCAAAACTCAAGTGACTTAAATTTACTGTGAATAAGAAACAGCCAATGCTGGAGCTCGACAACCACTGGATGAACCAGATTTAAAGGACCCGAGAGCCACGAAGGCACTACGAGAGTCAACAACAACTACAAAGGAAGACTGACAATGAGAAACCAGGAGATGAAGCAGAAACCAGGGAGTGCACCTCAGCAAGGCAGCAACCGAGAGGGAAGCGGGGGCCAAAGAGACCTTCAAAGCAGGAACAGGGGGCGGATTCACCGAAACAGAATGGGACGGAGAAAGAGAGTAAGAGGTAGGGGGCGAGGAAGAAAGCAAAGCCTTCTTACCTACCGAAGAGGAGGAAGGAGAGGAGACAGGCGTCCCAGCAACAATGTACTGGGCAACAGTCTAGTGTCTCAACAGGTGAAGCAGAACGAGAGCAAACACGACGGCCGTTGGTAGAGCAATGGACATCAGCCCGCACTGACAGTCGGCGTTTAGAGCCAACACACAGAGGGGAAGGATCGGAGTGAGACGAGAAAGAAGTCATAGAAGAAATGACAGACTGGGCAGAAAGAAGGGGAACCCCAGACAGAAGACCAGGATGGGGGACCCTTCGGGACAGAACTCAAAGGAACAGAGGAGGGGGCGGTGGGCGTGTCAGGATCTAAGGCCTGGAAACGGTTTTGAGTCTGAGGAAGGTGAGAAGGACGAGGAGAGGAAGAGCGCAACATGCGAGCATAAGAGACGTTAGCATAAGGTGGGAGACGGCAATCTTGGCGCCTCACCTCAGGAAAAGAAACTCTCCCGGTGCTTCAAGTTGAGGACGGCTGCCTCAAGCTTGTAATGTATACACAGACGGGAGAAGGTAGGGTGGGCCTCACCGCATATGAGGCAGCGAGCCTGGGGAGAAGTGCACTCCGACTTAGAGTGACCTTCGCCCCCACACAGAGGACAGAGAGAGAGAGTAGCGGAGGGCACCATGCCCAAACCTCCAGCACGAGCCAAGGAGAGGGAATGTACTCCTGCACGGAGCACCTGGCACCAGCAAGAATGACAGGGCGGAACGGTCCTACCATCAAAGGTAATCTTCACAACCCGAAGGGGTTGACAGCGATGACCACGAGGGGGACGAGTAAATGAGTCTACCTGGAGGACAGAATGGTCCTGTGCATCGAGGATATGCCGAATAACTTCGTTTAAGTCCTGGAAATTCCGAACACCGGTTGCAACATGGGGTGGGAGGAGAATAGTGCCAACACTGACATTCAACCGAGCGTTCTTGTAGACCCGAACAGGGGTCTCGCCATGGCAGGATAAGGTGGCTAAGCGGGAGGCTGCATCCTGAGAAGGAACAGCAACGACATGTGTACCGAGACGGGTGGGGTGGAAGGTAACAGAGGCATCTACTGAATCAACAAGGTGCCAATGGAGGGAGAAATCATCAGAAGCGTAGAATTCAGAGGGAGGAGATCAAAGTATTTGGCCCACGAAGCGGGACCAAACAAAGTTTGATACGCATCAGTATGGGAAAGAATCAAGCGAGTGTGGCCGTGGCGAGGACGGCGTTGAGAACCCCCCAGAGAGAGGGGTTAAAAGGCACAGTAATCACAACTAGAGACTGGGCAGTGTCAGGGGACGAGGTGGTCACCACTGGGGGCTTGGGGCTCGACCCAACCACAGAGGAGGAAGGGGAGCCGAGGGGAGTAGTCAGGAGAGTCAAAGGAGGAGCAAGGTCGGGGCCCAATGCAGTGGAGGTTACAGAGCCTGGTCTTCCAACACAGGCAGACTCTGGGGCTAGGTCGCCCACCCCACGAGCCCGAGAAGGTAAAAGAGGAACATTAAGTGACATGGATACGAGAGGAAAGACATTCATTCACGAATGTGCCCCCACACCCACCACGGAGCCACAATTAGAGGCTGGACACCCAACATGAGAAAAGTTGCCAATCTTGCTGGGGCCCCCCAGGGGGTGCGTCGTGAGTATACACCCCACAAAAAGCCACCTTAAGAACCGTCAGTCCATCGACATTGGGTTCAGTGAAGAAAGGAGGATTGACAATAAAAAGGTCCCCTCACTCGAGACGTTGGGTACTACAGTTCTACGGGTGCAAGAGTATGCCTCCTCAAACACCCGGCCGTCAAAACAAAAGAAGGCCGAAAGAATGATCAAAACAGTCGGTCGGCAGGAAATGACAATTAGAAAGAAGAAGAGGGGGGGGGGGAAGAAAAACGAAAACATAAGGAAAATGAAAAGGCGTCCAGCAAAATTTGTGAAGACAGCAGCAGGAGCAGAAGGCCACAAAAGGACAAAGGACTGACTCATTGAGCATCGCACTCCGACAGCCGCCCACCAAGCCCCCTCAGGGCATCAACAGGCCGGACAGCGAGGGGGGACTCACCAAGTAGGTGTAGGAGCTGGGTGTGACTCACCAAGTAGCTGTGGATGCTGGGTGTGACTCACCAAGTAGCACTGGGTGCTGGGAGGGACTCACCAGGTAGCTGCGTGTGCTGGAGGTTCGCTGGGATCGACAAAGCTGTACCTTCTCCTCCCTGGCAGCCCTGAGGTAAGCGAGTGCCCAGGTCCAGATGCCCAGGTATCGGGCCAGAAGTGCCAGCAGCCCTGTGATGCTGGCACACCCCACCACCGTCACCACCACAGCCCATCCAGAGCCCATCCTGCAACAGACAAATTAACAAAGCTATTCAAACATAAACAACCCATTAGATGCAAATTTGGATGTTTTGATTGAGATTATGGTTGTACAAACAATGTTTGGTGCGGATAAAAAAAAATGTAAATGACATTCCTATTTATTGTTATTATTAACTGATATAATAATAATAATGGTAATATTAATAATTATTGTGATAATGTTAGAGGTGAGTGTGCCCTGGAGTACTGCGATCAGACTACTCCCGTGTGGAAAATGACTCGTGTGATTTATATTTAGTTTATATTAGTTTATATGTTAACTTATATTTTACGTTAATTTAGATATATCTATAGAAAATTGTACGATGTTTAAAGTTGACTGATCTAAAATCCCTACAAATCACTTTCCTTCACATTCTGGTTGGAGGAGGAGGGGGGGGATTATGATTTACATATATAGTATATCAATATAAATATTTGATTAGTAGACATTCACTATAGGTACAAGTCTACATATGTTAGTAACTGACATTTAACACAACTACAGCTTATCTATATTATAATGGGCCTGGTCCTCCAGTTATGAACACGGATGATCACACCAAATAATCCTGGTGGGTGAGGCTAGTATAAGCATATGTTACTGGGGTACCAGGTAGATGCAATTCTCCTCCTCCTCCAATTACACCTGTCAAAGGGCACTCACAATAATATAGTAGTAACCTAAATATGACAGCTATATCAGGGGAAATATAGTTACAATTTATTAGACGAGGTTTAAATAATAATTACCTCGTTTTGTGTCTCGACTTGTGTCCTAACTGGCTACAGTAGCTACCTAAAACATTCCTGGCCAGGAATGAAACAGCTAATAAACGGGTTTCGGAATGGACACTTTCCTTATTGTAGACGAAGTTTGTGTTGATGACGGGATGTTATTGGTCCCCTAACACTGTGTCGAATGATTATAACTGTAGAAATTGTTCTGTTCCATGCGTGACTTATGTTAAATTAACAATGGCGACTGCTACCCTTTTTTTTTTTTTTTTTTATTTTGATAAAAGAAATATACAAAGTATAGCACAATATACATGACATGAACCTATGAACAAGAACATAACAAAAACATAAGCAGAAACAGGCATAAAAGAGAACATTGCATAACAAGACTCCAGAAACTCCAGGGACATAAGTCTGAATACAAAATTAAACATAATAATGGACATACAACAAACGGACGCATACGGACATGGAAAGACACAACAAACATACACAGAATAAACCAGACACTCACACATATACAAAATGCACACAAGTACATAAATAACACAAAGCATAAGCACATCGCACACAAAGCATATAAGTAACAAACACAAATCATGGCCAAGGCCCAGGCACAACTATATGACAACCCCAAGAAAGAATCCGGGGCGAACAATGAAACACCGAGATACACGTACCCTAAACAAACACACTTCCAGGAAAAACAGCAATCAAACCAACAAAATGAGTATCAAAACAGCCGCATTCAACCCACACATGGCACAAGCAACAGCCCACGCAGGAGCCAACACAGAAGCAAACCCACACTCACACACAACCCCACACACCAAACCGAACACACAACCACAGGAGCAACCACACACGCACCCAGCACAACCCCCCCGAGGAGGCCCACCGGAGGGCCGGGGATCTAGGATGAAAACAGAAGACCACTCACCCAAAAGCAACCCCACGCACATACCCACCCATGAACCAACCACGAAACTCGCTCGGAAACGCACGCTGCACCCACCACCACGTGAACCGCAAACGACCCCTCAAAAACCCTAAAAGCCTAGCAACCCCATAACCCTCCCTTCGACCCACCCACACACAATACACAAAGTCAGCAACAAGAAGACAAAGCGTATGTCGAACACGGCGCGACCTCCGCGGAAAGGACAAAAACAAAAACCTCAAAAGGTCACCCCAACACCCAGGTCCACAAACCCCAACCAATACGTCCCGAAACCAATAGAGCAAACCCCGCAACCGCCCGCAAAAATAATAGACATGCAACTGTGTCTCAGGGAGACCACAGTGCACACACGCATCAGAGGCACGCAAACTCAGCACTGCCGACAAGCAAGAGTCGGACACGTACAAGAGCACATCTCAAAACACTGCATTGCAATGCAACAAGGATCGACCCGGAACACCACAAAACTGCTCCACAGAGACAACAGACGCCACAACACTGCGACACCGACCAGCCAAGACCTTAGACAGGATCTTGTAGTCTACATTCAACAAAGTAATGGGCCGCCAGTTTGAGAACCGTAAATCGCCCGACTTCGGGAGAAGCCGCACAATCCCAACGCACTGAGACATAGGCAGAACACACTCCCGAAGACAAGACCGGACCACCTCCAGCAGAACATCCCCAACACATCCCAAAAGGCGACATAGAACTCAATAGGAAGACCATCCAAACCCGGCACCTTCCTAGAACGAAATGACCGCACCACCACAAGCAGCTCCGCCAAGGAGACCTCTTTCACCAGACCAGCACACTCCGCAACCGACAACCCAGGAAGGCACCGACCCAAGAAATCCTCCGCAAGTGCGGCGTCCCCAGCCACCTCCGCATACAGCGCAGCCAACTCCTGCCGAACATAGTGCAACACCCTACCAGTGTCCGAAACAACGGTCCCTTCTGGCCGTTGCAGGGCTGTAAAAAGAACAGAGTCCCGCGCGGCCCGTACCTTACTTAAGAGAAACGGAGAAAGTCCCGTCTACCCTCTCACTTACATGAGTCCTCACACGCACACCCTCCGCCCACTCACTCCGCAACCCGCATATACGCGCCTTGCAGTCCACATTCTTATCAAAACAATCAACACCAGCATCGTACCTTACATACAACCTCGACAGCTGCGCCTGCAACAACCGCAGCAACCCAAAGTGCCCAGCAGCCTCGCGTTTAGCAACCACGCGAAAAAACAAACGACACTGCACCTTACACCACTCCCACCACTCCAAGACAGACAAACTCACAACACCGGGCCCGAATCCCGACCCACCAACACCGAAACTGACGACAAACACGCGGAGAACAAAACAACCCACAGTTTAGCTTCCACCACCTCGCACCTGACTGGGCACCCCAACCCGGACCACCACCAAACTGTGGTCGGAGAATGCAACCGGGACAGTGCGAAAATCATACACTGAACATTCCCCACCATTGACATACACCCTATCAATCCGCGAACGCACCCCACGTGCAGCAAAAGTAAACGACAGCCCTCCACCAAAGAGCACAGCAGCGTCCCGGAAACCGCAGGAACGCACCACCTCCAGCAGCGCACCCGAGGCATTCTGCGGACGAGTGCTACAACAATCCCGTGCACTCGTCACACAATTGAAGTCCCCTCCAAAAATCATGCCACGCGTATCATGGCGCAAGAAAGGGAGAATCCCCACCCGAAAAAACTCCTCCCTCTCCCGACGACGCGCCGCACCCGAGGGGGCGTACACCATCAAGAACGGAATGACGACCCCTAAAAACTCCACCCGCACAAATAACACCCGCCCATCCTCGTCCAACTCCGTGTGAAGCACAGAGAAGGAGGCCCTACGAGAGAATGACATAAGGGTCCCTCCGAAAGGCGTCCTCGGCGGGTTGAGCACCACATGATAATGCACGCTCAGACACTGCAACACAGACACATCATGCACATTATGCTCCTGTATGAGAGCCACATCCACACGTTGCTCCTTCAAAACATCCAACAGGCCCAACTGGACCCCAAGAGCATTCAAACCCCGAACATTCAAGGACGCACATACAACGGAGGGCGCCATCGGGACAACCTCAGGACACCCCCAACCCGTTGCGACACACTGGCTGCACATCATCCTGGACCCCAGGGCGATCACAGTGAACACCGCCAGTCGCCGTACCCAGCCTCACGGATGAGCCCTCCGCCGGAGCCGCAGAGCCCCCACCAACTGGATCAAGGGCAGAAGCCCCCCGACAGCCATCTTTAGACAACACGACCACCAGGTCTCGGTCACCGCGATAAGCCACCCACCCAGGGGTGCCACCATCAGGAGGCGCAGCTGCCGTCACTGGAGGCACCACAGAAGAAACATCCTCGATGTCCTCGCCCGCAACCTCCATCCCAACACCGCCCTCCGCCCACAACCGACGAGGCGACGTATCCTGAGCTGAACGACGGCGCTTCACATGAGGCTGCTGATCGTCAGTAGAACGACCCCCAGCAAGGGGTGCTCCAGAAGAACCCGACGTGGGCGGGCCCAAAGCTGAGGCAGCACGGACACACAAAGCAGCAACCTCCACAGCATGGGGCCACAGCCTACCACCACGCCCGGAGACCGGAGCAGAAGGAGTAGTCCCAGAAAGCGGGAGAGCACACTCCGGCTCACAGGGGGGCATCCACCACGATCGTCGAGGCAAGCGCAGCTGACGAACCACTGGACGAGGCGACCTTCGCAGATGACGAGGGAGTCGACGCAGAGTCAGAGGGCAGGGAGGAGGACACACACCCCACCACCCCAGCATCCCCGGGCAGCAGACAATCTTCAGCAGGGGAAGCAGGCACCACACCAACAGCAGCAGCCGAGGACCGCACAGAAGCCTCCGGCCGCGGATGCACCTCCGCCACCACCGAACGAAGAACCCCCGAGGCAGGAGCTCCTGTTCCCACAGAGCACACCGGGGAAGCAGACGTACTATGTCCCGACCAAACAGGGACATAGGGAGCACTTGCCGAACCCGCTGCAGGAACCACCCCAGGCACCTCGCCAGGGCGAGAAACGACGAGGAAGCCCCCCGTGTCTTCAAAGGGGGGAAGTCACCCTCCAAGAAAACGGAGGGAGCCTCAGCTCGAGGAGCATCACATCTCGCCGCCACATGGCCCTCAGCACCACACCAGAAACAAATGCGAGTCTGGCCCTGATAAAATACTCTGAACGAGAGCCCACGGATGGTTGAAGCGATGAAACTGCACCACTCCATACCTCTAAACACAACCCGCAGCTCTACCTCAGATAACGTCACCGGTACATCATGCACTCACGTACTGCATGGCCCCCCAGGGATTCGAAATGGCCACAGACACAGCCGTGTCGTTTTTTTTTTTTTATTATTATTTTCTACCACAGACGTGGCCACACATTTACAATGCTAACCAGCATATATACATTTTCTTCTGTCCTCCATGGACAGGGTTAGAGAAGTGTTAAACATATAGTTCAAGGGTTTATTGAACACAACCACAGAAGGTCATTCGGTGCTTTTAAAATGCTAAGCTAACCTACATACGTAAATACATAGATACACAGATTTACGTATGCCCTACATAAAGTGTTAGATGTGTCTTTTACATAGTGTCATTAATGTACATTCACAAAGGTGAAATGTAATTCTGATCAGCTTCCATATATACTTTGTACCCATACATATACATACACACACACACATATACATACATATATACACACACATGCATTCACATACATTTGTCTCATTTACTCTGACAGGGTGAGGTAGCTGATAAAGAAACTAGTGTGCAATTAAGCACTTAATCACTGAAGGTGATGAAGGTGCTTTTACAAGCTCAGGTTATATAGTTACATCATATATATACAAGCCGTGTCGGTGACTGGAACCGAGTGGCCGGCCCAACGCGCCACAAACTCCTTGTACAGCGAGCTCCTGCAGAAGGTCACCGCCACCCGGTATGGAAAAGCTTCTCCAGCCCTATCAAATCCTGGACATCCACTTGAAGCACATCGATGACAGCAACTTCCACAAGCGCCCAGTCCACATCCCCCGAGAATTCAAGGCACGCTGTGTCCACCCGCCGTACGCGGGACACACCACCAACCACCAGCCGGGCCCTCCGGCCAGCGGGCGCACCACACCACATCCACACCCGCCTCCATTCAGCACCAGGCGACAACTGGCAGGTCAAACGAGCACGTCCTGGCCCTCTGGTGGCCAGTGAGCGAATCCATGGCGACTGCTACTGGTCCTCCTCCCACTGACACCTTGGCTGTCTGGTCCAGATATCGTCAAGAAGTAGGAAAAATGGGCCTACAATTACTCTATTTTAGTACTGATAATTATGTTGGTTCAAGGAATTTTTTTTATAATGTTTACAGTCCAAAGACTGCTGTATTAAGAATGATTCCCATTATTAGGTAGTAAATTTAATGGCGACATATGGCAATTATATCCTCGTTTTCTTATAACTAAAATTCCACTGTGCCTCACATTCTATAAGTTAATTTGTTATTAGTAAATTAGCAGCCATATTATCTGCATATTGTATTGAAAGTTAGTAAATGGTGTCGATTTTTCCGACAACGCCTGTACTCACCTAATTGTACTCACCTAATTGTGCTTGCGGGGGTTGAGCTCTGGCTCTTTGGTCCTGCCTCACATGCCTCTCAACTGTCAATCAACAGGTGTACAGGTTCCTGAGCCTATTGGGTTCTATTATATCAACACATGAAACTGTGTATGGAGTCAGCCTCCACCACATCACTTCCTAATGCATTCCATTTATCAACCACTCTGACACTAAAAAAAGTTCTTTCTAATATCTCTATGGCTCATTTGGGCGCTCAGTTTCCACCTGTGTCCCCTAGTGCGTGTGCCCCTTGTGTTAAATAGCCTATCTCTATCTACCCTATCAATTCCCTTGAGAATCTTGAATGTGGTGATCATGTCCCCCCTAACTCTTCTGTCTTCCAGCGAAGTGAGGTTTAATTCTCATAGCCCCTCCTCGTAGCTCATACCTCTCAGCCTGTGAAACATCTACTATAATTTCGTCCCTAAGTTACTACCAGAGGCAAAAGGCTATGAAGATAATTGTATATAGACTTTTCCAGGAGACAGGAGAGAGGATGAAAATCACATCACCGAAACTCTTACATCTGCTGGCTGTCTCACGGAGGCACCATGTATATCTTCCTTGCATAAGACTAGACAATTAACACTGCTAAGCAACCCAGCAGTTCCCATATTAAGAGAGGAAATTTATGACAATTTGTCTCTATTTGAACATTTTTTAAGTAAATTGAACTGGCTTAACTAGAGATGTATAACACAAATACTCGCAAATCAGGTCTACAATTGATTACTCGCCATACGACTATATAACACTAGGAAGGGATCAGGATAAGGATTTGGGATGGGACGGGGGAAGGAATGGTGGCCAACCACTTTGGGTGGACAGTAGAGCGACGGTCTCACTTCATGCAGGTCGACGTTTAATCCCCGACCGTCCAAGTGGTTGGGCAATATTCCTTCCCCCCTTCCTCGTCTTATCCCAAATCCTTATCCTGACCCCTTTAAGTGCCATATAGTCATATTGGATTGGTGATTTCCTCTGGTAGTTCCCTCCCCCTTCGCACTAATTTGTGATTCCTGGCCACAGGTTCTCCTGCAGATGTCAGACCAGAGTGGCGACAGGACTGTGCATCAGGTGAGAAGCATTGTTAATGATCTCGACCCACTGCCGAACATGAGGTTCCCAACACACGAGGGATGTGGCTCGTCTCTGTAGTCTACAACGTTCATAAATGAACGCATCCATTTAGTGTATAAAAAAAATATTTCTATAGAACAAATTACCATAAAAGAGTTGCTTTAAATCAGATGTTTTCTTGGCATGAAGAAAGCAATTCGGACGCTCTTAAAAATCTAAAGTACAAAAAATGATGGCAAGAATTATAAGAACAGGTTGCTGACCAAAACATACGCTTACTTCAGACATTAAGAAACCTTTGCAAATGAAACCTTGCAGTTTTACTGAATTTTTCTTCTAATAAAAAACAAAATTATTCACTAAAATATTGAATTACTGTCACCACTGGCAGTATTAACAGTGGTGACAGTAACAACAGTGGTGGCAGTAACAACAGTGGTGGTAGTAACAACAATTGTGGTAGTAACAACAGTGGTGGTAGTAACAACAATTGTGGTAGTAACAACAGTGGTGGTAGTAACAACAATTGTGGTAGTAACAACAGTGGTGGTAGTAACAACAATTGTGGCAGTAACAACAGTGGTGGTAGTAACAACAATGGTGTCAGTAACGATAGTGGTGGCAGTAACTATACTGCTGACAGTGGTGGCAGTAACAACAGTGGTGGCAGTAACAACGGTGGTGGCAGTAACAACGGTGGTGGCAGTAACAACAATTGTGGCAGTAACAACAATGGTGCCAGTAACGATAGTGGTGGCAGTAACTATACTGCTGACAGTGGTGGCAGTAACTATACTGCTGACAGTGGTGGCAGTAACAATAATGGCGGCAGTAACGACAGTGGTGGCAGTAACAACAGTGGCGGCAGTAACAACAGTGGTGGCAGTGTCAGCAACAATGACGGAAGTAACAACAGTGGTGGCAGTGTCAGCAACAATGACGGAAGTAACAACAGTGGTGGCAGTGTCAGCAACAATGACGGCATAACAACAGTGGTGGCAGTGTCAGCAACAATGACGGCAGTAACGACAGTGGTGGCAGTGTCAGCAACAATGACGGCAGTAACGACAGTGGCGGCAGTGTCAGCAACAATGACGGCAGTAACGACAGTGGCGGCAGTGTCAGCAACAATGACGGCATAACAACAGTGGTGGCAGTGTCAGCAACAATGACGGCATAACAACAGTGGCGGCAGTGTCAGCAACAATGACGGCAGTAACGACAGTGGCGGCAGTGTCAGCAACAATGACGGCAGTAACGACAGTGGCGGCAGTGTCAGCAACAATGACGGCATAACAACAGTGGTGGCAGTGTCAGCAACAATGACGGCAGTAACGACAGTGGCGGCAGTGTCAGCAACAATGACGGCATAACAACAGTGGGTGAGAGTATCAGCAACTATAAACATACCACATATAACATGAGTGAGCGCCTATCATAAAACATGCCATGTTAATGTTCCAGTATTTATGCTGCCCATCACGGTGATAATACTCTGGTGTTTCCCCGGTCACGTTATTTCCAGCACCTCCCCCCTCCCTCCCGTCCCGTTCCGTCCCGCTCGCCCTGGAACATTACTTGTAAATTCTTTCTGCTTTATATAATCTGGAGTTACGATTAATGTTTTCCAAGTAGGCAGTCATCTTACTGACGTTTATGTTCATGTATATGTTCTCGCTCTCTCACTGCGCTACCTTACTGATGAGCGTTCATGTTCATGCAGACTGTTCTTCTCTGCAATGCGCTCTTTTTACTGAAGTGCATTCTTATTTCTGCCGCGCATCCACGTTGTTGAAGAGGTTTCGTCCCAACATTGTTCACATTTCTTCTGTGCATTTACGTTCTGTGAAATATAAATCTTATTCAGTGTGGCAGTGAATAGGAGCAGCAACCTCACTTTAATTCGACTTTATTCAATTACTCCGAGAAGGCAAAATTGCATGGTTTTGCCACTTAAGGTATTAATAATATGCTATAGAGTGCTATGTTAATGGAGTGGGGGGGGAGGTCAATGTCACTGTGTGAAGAGGTCAATCTCCCACTCCTATGGACAAACAGGGTCAGATCCCATTCATGGGGTCATAGGGGTCAACCACCTTGAGTCATCGGAAGTCAGGTGCTCCTCCTCACGTTGTAGGGAGTGGGAGGAGGTGTTAGCCTTTGACCTCATATTCGTGGGGAATATGGAGAACCATATCTTCAAAAAATACGTTGTAAAATTAGGTCCAGCTTGTTGAGTTGTAACAAAATGTTGGAGGTTTCCTCCTGCCTACATCTGTCAAGCACCTGTGATTACGTCAGGTGTAGTACAGATGTGCAGGTCACGTGGGACGGGTGTGTGACATGAAGACGCCAAATTCTTCCTTCATGTTTATTTTGATTCTAGATAATATATTGGGTCAACCTCCTCCCCCCCCTCCCACCACCACCCCCATCGATCACAACCACTCTAGGCCTAAAACTCTTAATTCCTGGGCGGCGCGCCAGAGAGAGAGGCTTTGCAACAGAAGCGCTCAACAGGCCGTAAGAACGACCCTGGCTAGCCTGCCTACCTTGACCTCCAGCAAGCGAGGCGGGAACGGCTGTGGCACTGACCTGGCGGTAGGTGGCAGAGCGCGGTGGACTCCCAGGCCTGGCTTTCACATCCCGCCGACACCCTCTCACCACACTGCTCACCGACACACTGATCCCCGCCCGCCACACGCGCCCCCTTTATTGATTCCGGACACCAGCGCATGGGCACTAAACCGGCCACACTCGGACTCACACACACATACTAATTCCCTCACACACTCATATTCATACAAACACACACACTAGTGTTGTCTTCCTCCCAGAGACTTGCTGGCATATGACCGCATGGCTCGTGTCGGTGTGGCTGGCAACATGTGTCGTCGAGGGGAACGCGGTCAGTCATTGATGCAACAGTCCTGAAGCTGTCTTGCCAGAGGGAGGGAGAGAGGGAGGGAGGCTACAGGTGGCAGAGCCGGGGATTGTCGACCACCTTCACTATCGCTTCTACCACCACCATTATCACTATAATCACAACCATCATCACAGCAGTATAATCACCAATGTCACTACCATCACCACCACAATCTTCAATGTCACTACCACCACCACAATCACCAATGTCATTACCACCACCACAACCAAAATCACCAGTGTCACTACCACCACCACCACCACAATCACCAATGTCACTACCACCACCACCACCACAATCACCAATGTCACTACCACCACTACCACCACAGCAGCCACCATAACATCACCACAACATCAGCACCACTCCATTAAATGTTAACATGCTACAACAACATAATTCAAATTTCTCAGCTTCTCAAGCCTGACAACAGAGTGGACAGCGCTTCGGATTCGTAGTCCGATTTTCCAGGTTCGATCCCCGGTATAGGCGGAAACAAATGAGCAGTCTCTCTTTCATCCTGATGCCTCTGTTACCTAGCAGTAAAGAGGTATCTGGGAGTTAGACAGCTGCTACGGGTTGCTCCCCGGGGTTGGTAACAAAAAGAAGACCTGGTCGAGGACCGGGCCGCGGGGACGCTAAGCCCCGAAATCATCTCAAGATAACTTTTCCCCCTGTCTTATCTCGACGGCAGAATAGCATTTTATTTTACTTAGTCGTTATAGTATTGAAGTTATAGTTCAGAGACAGACGACTTCTGCTCCACTTGTCAGGGTTCAATTGGAATCATTATATATGGAATATTATATAATTGAACTCATCAGCATTATTACAATTACTTTTGTTACGATTATCTCCTGTATATCAGTAGATTCTGCCTGTTCCTTACGACCTCAGTATCAGCATGCTCCAACATCAATACTCGACATCAAAAAACAACAACAATACATGCCAAAACGTATTGTCCAGTCACTCCTTTCCTCCCCCTACACCCTGCCTTCCATGAGAGCCACGCATCTGAAGTCTCATAGGTTCCCCAGACGACACCAACACACTACCATTACGCTGCCCGTTCATTGTTACAAGACCCAGATTCGCGCCAGTATTGATTGATTGATTGATGAAGATTAAGCCACCTAAAAGGTGGCACGGGCATGAATAGCCCGTAAGTGGTTGCCCTTTTGAGCCATTACCAGTATCAATAGCTGATACTGGAGATCTGTGGAGGTGCGACTGCACCCTGCGTGACGGGAGATGTCTCCCGTGGTAATGGGCGCCAGTATGATGTCACCGCCCATATATAAGGACTTGCCAGCGTCCAGCACAGCCACCACTTACGAGCTATTCATGCCCGTGCCACCTTTTGGGTGGCTTCATCTTCATCTTAACACATTCACAAGGGAGACATCTCCCGCCATGCAGGGTGCAATCGCACCTCCACAGATCTCCAGTATCAACTCTTGATACTGGTAATGGCTCAAAAGGGCCACCACTTAGGGGCTATTCATGCCCGTGCCACCTTTTGGGTGGCTTAATCTTCATCAGTCAATCAATCCAGCACAGCAGATTACCCTTCTAGTGCTCACTGCTTCCGCATCTATCCTCACCTTCAGGTGACTGTAGACGCTCAGAGCATTTTGTATAAATAATTACCTTCACCTTTGTTATTAACGTAAATTCATATGTGTATATTTTTCTTTTGATTGCGTTATGCCAAGTGGTCAAGGAATTTTTGGCTTTAATTGTTTAGTATTCTTTTTTGTAAGCAGTAAAGTAAATGTTTGTTAAGTTTTGTTATCTTAAATATTTTATAGTGTTTATTCTCTTAATCTTTACCCGCAGCTTGCACACCATAAAGGTTCCAGCAGATTTATGTTACTTTGTTTTCTATATTTTTTATTTTAATGTGCGTTTGGCACCACACCTGCCAGGACAGTTACTGTGCTCTCACACAATACAGTTTTTTCTCATGATTTTTTTGTTTCCATTTTACGGAAAAAACTTCCTACCACCCGGAGAGCGAAGAAACACTAGGTCGTTTAGTCTTTACATTTGATTGCAACTTTTCGTCTACAACGTGACAACTTAAACAGTAATATACACATATTACAGAGAACACGGTTATACTAAAATTATATGTAAGAATATATATATATATTTTGTTTTGAAGATATGTATTCCTTATTATTAATAGTTGGAAGCAATGATATAAGGACAGGTGATACTGGTGGAAGGTGTCTGCCGGTAAGGCCATCTTTCCACTGGGTCAAAGGCCATTAATTTTAAACAGTTGAATGTTCAATGTCAAATTAATTTGTGTGTTATTTCATCGTAGCAAGCTCACAGAGATGGCATCAGGGACTTACAGATAACCTGCGCCACCGAAACTCCTTTTCTAAACCCAGAGGGCAAGTTCTACTTGCAGGTTGACTCCCATTGCGGGTGCTGTTCGCCAAGGCGAGTCATCAACCCTACAGATGGATGGGTACGGCTAAAATTACAGAATATGTCCAGAATATAGGTCCTGTCCTAATACAGTACATTCAGTATTACGAATGTGATATTAGGATAGGCCACAGCTCGGGTGATCATAGCTTGAGGATAGGTTAGGTATCAGAGAGGAGATTTCGGTGTTGAAGGAACAAAGAATTGTTCGCACTAACGATAAATTCAAACACCTCGCGCGCGTAACATACTATATGTCAGTATTTTATTAATACAATAATACCAATACTAGTTTTATTATTGTTTATGGCCATTAAAATTATTACTAAAATATGCCATCATGAAGCATCCCAAGTTATCCTTCATCATCTCCCACCATGCAATAACACTAAACCATAGACCACTCCGGCCAGACCAAAGCATCCCACAGAGCAACACGTTACGGCACTGAACATCAGTCCACAATATTACAGAGCATATCACCACACATCTCGGAAACACAGCATCCAAAGACATCATACCACAACATCACTCACCATCAACAGTCTCCAACAAAACATGGCATTCCATAACACAACAGAGTATCACATATAGCTTAGCAGTATCTCACAGCGTTTCATAGCCCCAAACAATCATTTACAACAGGGCATCTTACATGCCATCAATTTACAGTACCAAACAACATATCACAAGATCTCACCTCACCATCTCCACACCATCCCATAACAGCATACCACACTATCACAGAGTATACCAGCATACGATGTAACACACTATATTATACATTACACAACATCCTGCAACATTCAACCACTCCATACATGAATTTCATGATTGGTAACGTGGAACCTATACTCAAGCCGGAAGACTCGGGGGGGGGGGGGGGGATTACAAGATCTTGCTTCATCTGCTTGAAAATTACCAGAGATAATTCTAGCTGTGCAGGTAGTGGTAATACCAGAACTCTGGTAAAGGAGAGGCCACAGAGAGAGAAAAAGACAGACAGACAAAGACACCTGTTCATACGGCAGGAAAAAAAACGTTCGAAATATCTTGGTTTTTTTTAAATCGAATACAATTACTAGATTTTGCGAGTCTTCAGATCGAGTCCCTGCATGGTTAGTGTCAATATGCACCGTTTTCGTTTCTATAAAATTCCTAATATCAGCTAATGTACTTTTTTTAGCATCGTTCTTATTCTTACTTATCGTACACAGTAAGCAGAGAATTGTACGTTAAAGGTGATGCACATTTTCGTATGTTATTTGGCAAATTAGCTTTAAACAACTTGGTCTGGGTTTGATTACGTGGTTTGGCTTGGTACACGAGTGTTTGGGATACACCCCTGTTGCTCTTGTGGTTATTTAGTTCTATATGACCGAAACGCTTTGCGTAATAGTGGCTTTAGGCATTGTATGTACTAGCTCTACCTATAAGTCAAACAATCCTTGTAAATATTTATTGTATGTATGTACCTTACCTAAATAAAATTGTATTGTATTGTATTGTATTGTATATGGATAATTCCCACTGTGCACTCTGGATTCTGAGATGCAATCACTTGAGAGAAACTATTTCCTCCAAACGACCCGCTGAGGACCTGCAAGTAGTTAAACTTACCAATCTCTGTTTTAAACTTACTTGGTGTTGAAACCGCGATTACAGTTTCTGGACATTCAACATACAAATAATTGATAGTAATAACTTGACCGAGTACCGTATATCATTTACCGGAAATAATATACCATTGTCCAGCTTACTAAAAAGGAGATGGTTCTTAGTTCCTCTTGAATTGATAAAAAAGTGGCTTGGTTTCTCTAAATAAGTTTATGCTAATCGTTAGTCTTGTCAGGAAGTAATTCAGATATTTAGTTACGCAAAACCTGGCCACAGGCCAAGTCAAGAGACTCACGGTCGTCGCCTAGCAATAGCAATGACATAACAGAAGATCCATTTGACTCAAAAGTAACTCAGTTAATTTAATTAATTTAATTAACACTTTCGCGCTCCCTGCGTTCTGAAAAAAACTTACCCTATGTGCTTTTGGCGTTTCGCGCGCCCATGCGGTAAGACCGAAAAAGTGTACACTCTTTTGACTGTCCTGACAATAATTGAAGGCGCACGTATTTAAATTTGGTATCACTGTGTTTGCAATAAAATTGTCTATAAGAACATACCTATAAAATGCCGCCAAAGCATAAGGACTATCAACACCAAATAAAAAACTATTCAGATCACTCGCCGAGAGCGCCAAACAGCAACAAAATGTTTCCACTCTCTTAATGGTTGCGAAGCC